CACGGCGAGGCTCTGCTCCTCTACTTGCAGCAGGCGGCGGAGGCGGAAGCGCGGCGTGCCAACGAGGCACGTCTGGACAAGTGGCGTGAGGCAGTCAAGACGGACGTTCCCCGGCTTTCCCGCTGGATCAAGGCGTCTCAAGTGGAGGCTCCAAGCAACTTCGAAGACTTTGGCGTGGACCCGGACCCGCAGGCGAGGGCGGAGCACGCCACTGTGGAGTGGAAGAAGCGCTGGCACCGCGACGCTCGACCCGACGGGCAAGCACTGCAGCAGCTGCTCAACGACCTGGACTTTCCGGAGGCTCGGCCGGCGCAGGCTCCTACTGTGAACGGTTCCGCGCTCTTGCGGCTGGCAAAGGCGGCGGCGCGCAAAGCAGCTGGCCTTGACGGCTGGACTGGGAGCCTCTGGAAGGCTTTGCCGAAGGCTTTCTTTGACCTCCTCGCGGCGGTGTGGAACGCAGTGCTTGATGGGGCCCCGCTGCCGGCCGCGTGGGTGCAGGTACGCGTGTGCCTCATTCCGAAGGATGATGGTGGCTTGCGCCCTCTTGCCATCGCTGCGCTAGCTTGGAGGCTGGGCGCGACTTGCCTGGTTCGGCAGCTCATCGGTTGGGTGCACGAAGTTTTTCCTGCGGAGCTGTTTGGTGGCATGCCGCACAGAGGAATTGATGACGTTCATGCTGCTCTTTCCAATGCTCTCTTCCTGCAACGTGGTGGCGGGCCTCTTGCGGGCTGTAAGGCAGACGTCAAGAAGTGCTTTGACTCTGCGGACCCCAAGCTGGCAGTGCAGTGCATGCGACGTTTAGGGGCTCCTGAGAACGTGCTCACTGTCATCGAGCGCTTCTACCAGCTTCACGAGCGCTGGCTCATGGTGGAGGGGGCCTGTGCCAGGCACCCTGTGGTGGAGGCTGCGGCTTTGCTGCAAGGATGCCCGTTTTCTCCTCTTTGCCTCAACAGTATGATGACAGTGTGGCTGGCGGCGGTGAAGAAAGCTGATACAGGCTGTACTTTGTCGGTTTTTCTTGACGACAGGGCCATCTGGGTGCGAAAGCGCCGTGGTGCGGCCAGAGCTGTGCGGGCGGCAATGGTGGCGGGAAGGGAAGCAGACCAGGCTTTAGGCTTCGAGCTGCATCCGGCTAAGTTGGAGAGCTTTGGCACTTCACAGCCTGTGAGAGAAGATTTGTTGGCTGCAGCTGACGAGGTGGGCATTCCGCAGCAGACGTTTCGGCTTTTGGGTCTTCCTTACAACACCACGGCGGCCTCTCCGATCGCTGCTGGCACCGTTGGCAAGGTTCTTAAAGCGAGGTGCAAGCGCATCCAACTGTGCGGGCAATCCAGGAGTCTTCGTTGCGCGCTTCTTCGGCTTCTGGTAGTTCCTCTTTTCCGTTGGGCCGCGCCTTGGCTTCGACAGTACAAGAAGGACGTACAGGCATGGACTGGTGCCATCGAGCGAGCGGCCTGGGGCGGCAGCATACCCAGAGGCCGTTCGCCTGCTCTGGCTTGGGCAGCTGTGCTGGGGCTTGAGCTCTACCCGGCTTTCGTCAACGCGGAGACTGCAGTCCTACGTGAACACCGCAGACTACAGCTTGGGCGGCATCCGCGCGAGGCTCCTCAGACCAAGGCTGCTTTGAGGTACTTTGGCTGGACTCGTGACGACGCAGGTGTTTGGCACACTCGCCATGGCTCCTTTCAGGCGGGCGACGTCGGTGCTCCTGCCCTGCGACGGCTCATGCGTCAGGACGGTGCGCGCAAGCTCTTCTTGCAAGACAACAAGGCCAAGCAGGCTGGTGGCTTTGACGGCGACTTTGACTTGAACTACCAAGTCAAAACGCGTGACGTGGCCCAAACCTACCCGCTGCGCGTCATGGTTGGTGCAGCTTCTGACGCGAGGAGCTTGACGCCCAAACACGGGAACGTGCAGGACTTGGTTTGCACTTGTGGCTTTGCAGGCCCTACCAGGACGCACTTGACCTTTGACTGTCCTCGAGCTACGTGGAGCTCTGCGCGGCGGACTTTGCTGGAGCGGCGGTTCTTGGCGGCGCTTCGCCCTCTACCTCCCCGGCGCCCGCTTGCGGACTACAGCGTGCAGGTCGGTGAGGTGGCAGAGTACTTGAGCGAGCTTGACAGCGACCTCTTCCACTACGTGGCAACTGACGGTGGTTGCCTCCTTGCGAGAAAGGCGGAGGGTTTTCAGCAGGCTTCCTGGGCCGTCGCTTTTGGAGACAAATCCTTTGGAGGCCTTGTTGAAGGACCGGACCAGACGGCGGCGGAAGGTGAGCGCGTTGCAGTCTTCATACTGGCTGAAGCGCTCCTTCTTAACGGACGGTGGCTGCGACTTCTCGTCGACAACCAAGCTGTCGCTGGCAGGTTGCTTGGCGGTGAGGCCGCGTGCGAAAATGGTGACCCTTGGAGGCCGTGGAAGCGTGTGGCAAAGGCGGTGCGTTGGCTGCAAGTGGCATGGGTTCCGGCTCACAACAAGCAGGCCTCTTGGACGCCTCCCTCAGGCTGGATTGATGCCGACGCTTGTCGAGCTCTTAATAGGCGGGCAGACGCTGCTGCTGGCTCGGCTCTGCAGCCTTGCAGTCAAGCAGTGGCTCACGCGGCTCGTGCCGCTGACGAGAGGTTTGAGTGGGCGCGGGATGCTGTGGCAGCTCAGCGAGCAGCTACGCAGGACTGGCATGATCGCTTCGTCAACATGATCAGGCAGCAGCGGCGTCAATCGGCGTGAAGCTGCTACGGGTGGCGTTGGCGTCTAGCTGCTCTTTCGGGAGTCCAAGCTGATGTCGTTTTTCATCTACAACAACAACAACGTCCGCGATATTTCAGCCGCTTGTGGACGGCCTTTGAACTGGCCTCATTTTTGAGGAGTGACGAGGCGAGAGCAAAGCACATTGAATTTGCTCCAGTCAATTTGGGACCATTTTTTCTTTGCTTCAGTGCGTGGGAACAGCTGCTGCTCGCCAGTTTGCATGTCTTTACGTTTCGGAATGAGGTGGAAGGCTCGGAACAAGAGAGCTCCTTCAGTCTGGTACTGATTCTGCTGGTTATTCTTGCTCCAGCAATCCTTGTGGCTGTACCTGTGAGTCTCTACCTGGGCATCAAGCAGATGAAAGCCGTGCTTCAGTTGGGGAAGCAGCTGTCTAATTTCCGGATCCGAGATGCTCAGTGCAGCTGTTGCCAAATGGACCACTGCAATCCTGAGACCGGTGAGGAGTTGCTTTGTGACCGAGAGTTGGTCTTCAAAACCCTGGAGAGATGGTATCCAAAGGAGGGGTCTTCGGATGCACATTTGGACGGATTTGATGAGATGCCGCACAAAAGTCTGAGTGGCTTTGTGGCAAGCATCTTGGGGTCAGGGGCTCCGCCTTTAAAATACATGGTGGCAATCTCCGTCCATCCGTTGCTGGGTCTCCTGTGTCATTCTCTTCATCTTTATCTGGAAAAGAACGAGGTCGAAGCTTTTCGCGATTGGCTTCAAGTACCACCTATGGTGTACCTGAACTTCTGGGAGTTCGTGATGATTTCGAGGATGGGTGCCAAAGCCGGTGATCGGTACCCAATATGGCTGATTACTACGTGGGGTATTATTTTTTGCATAGCATGGGACTTTGGTCTTACGCTGCTGCACCGCGTCATGAACGACATTTTCTCTGACAATCTCGGCGTGCAAGTTCTCTGTATGGCGTGCCTTTGGAGTGCATGTCTCATTCCGTTCGTGTGTGAGTACCTACCCAGCCTTCGAAGGAGGAACAGAGATGCAACCTGAGGCAAAACCCCATGAACATCTACTGCCATAAGCGACGATGAATCTGGTGAATCTTATCAACAGTGGTGTCCTTTTGGTAAGCATCGACGGTACCATTTCCGATCATTTGCCTTGTTTATGTGGGGAGAAGCCTCTAATAGTATGGTACTTAGAACCCACTTCGGGCCTTGATAATCAGCCTTATAACCAACCTTACAGCTGGGGGGCTCCTTCTTGTAGGGGTTGCTGAAAATGTGCGTGTCCAAAGATTACACCTTAAAAGAGCCCGTACGCGTGAGGATCCTGAGCCTTAAATCCTCGACCCTAATTCTAAACCTTCAACCCTAAACCCTAAACCCCAAGCCCTAAACCCTAGACCCCTAAACCCTCAAGTCTAAACCTTAAGCCCCCAACTCTAAACCCCAAGCCCTCAAGCCTAAACCCCTAAACCCTAAGCCCTGAGCCCCAATGCGCCGCCCATCTTGGAAGCTGCCAAGAACCTCCTCAGGCTGAGAACATGTCCTCCTTGCTGGTCCGGAGTGTGACCCTGGCCCCACAGCTACAAGGAACCCCCAAATCCCTTCCTAGGGAAAGGGATTTGGGGGTTTCTCAAGAAGTTTAGGGATTAGGCTTTAGGCTTTAGGGTTTAGGGTGACGCCAAGGCCCCCCAGTTATGGGACAAAGAACCAAGATCCTGACATGCTACAAACCCTCCTGTATATATATATATATATATATATATATATCTACCCCAGACACTAAACTCTAAACTTTTGGTGATTTTTCAGAGAAAGCCAGTGAAATCTGGCATCCAGGTCTGGGAGCAGGGTGTGTGAGCGGGCCGGTTCCTTCAGAAACCCGCGAACAGTTACAGAAACAGAATCACAGACACTAACACCTGAATTCCTCAACATTTTTGCGCCATGGACGTGGTTCGTACCTGGAAGACCAACCTTTCAACTTTCACCTGAAGACTCCAGTTCTGCGCAAACCTACATTGGCTGCAATACAGTTCGAAGATTTCAGACGTCGGATTGCAGTAATGATTGTCCGGCCATGAGCGCTTGTGAACCCAACATCACCTGCACACAGCTGCCAAACCCTTCAAGCAAGTAAATTGCTAGCCTTATGAATATAAGAGGTAATGGTATCGGAAATGATATAGGGACAACAATAACACATCATCAACTCGCACTTATCCACACGATAGCAGAGTTGCGTCGCTTGTCGCCACGAGCCAGCCCACCACAGTGTGACGCATGTATATCGATTCCTTCGACCAGTGCGACAGCATTGCTCCTCGTCTTGTGTTGCCAGGGATGAAGGAGTTTCATCTTGCAGGTGGGGCCTTGCCGCGGTTGCACATCAAGCATGCTCAACGGTTTGCAGAGTTCTTATTCGGTACAGGGGGTCTCGTGTGTTTCAGCCAGACTTCTGAATCAGGGTTCTGCCATTGTTTCGCTATTTCAGACGAGTTGTTGGGCAGCTTACCCATGCGCCTAGGCCATGCTCCGGGAGGCACTGAGATCAAGATCCAATGAGTCTGTGACCGGGAAGGCTCCCTAGAACCGGTAAATGGGTTTCAACCCTACACCAAAGTTGCCGTTGAAGGCATGTAAACTTTATCATTTCAAGTTCATGTAGGGCCTTAGGCCCAGACATCCCGAATGCGAAAGTTCAGATTGGGGCCCAGGCGCAGCAATGCATCGATCGAGGAGTGCCGATAACGAGCCAGCTGGTCGTGCAGGCCTGCAGCACCCTGATCCATACTGAGTTCCAAAACCCAAGCCCCAAAAAAGATTCGAAACCCAGCATCCACATCCCAAAGCGCAGAGCACACGGACCTGACAGCTGGCTTCATCAGGTCGTGTTCACTACCGATGACTTGGACGATTTAGCTCCTCGGCCGGAGTGGCAGGAGCAGGAGTTGTAGCAGCAGCAGCAGCAGCAGGAGTAGTAGTAGTAGTAGTAGTAGTAGTAGTAGCAGCAGCAGGAGTTGTCGTAGTAGCAGTAGCAGTAGCAGTAGCAGTAGCAGTAGCAGTAGCAGTAGCAGTAGCAGTAGCAGTAGCAGTAGCAGTAGCAGTAGCAGTAGCAGTAGCAGTAGCAGTAGCAGTAGCAGTAGCAGGAGCAGTAGTAGTCGAAGTAATAGAAGTAGCAGAAGCAGAAGCAGCAGAAGCAGAAGCAGAGCAGTGGCAGCAGCAGTAGCAGTAGCCGTAGCAGAAGCAAGTTTTTTTCAGTAGCAGTAGCAGTATAGCCGCAGCAGAAGCAGAAGCAGTGGCAGTGGCAGTGGCGGTGGCGGCAGTAGCAGCAGCAGTAGTAGTAGCGGTAGCGGTAGCAATAGCAGGAGCAGGAGCGGGCGCGGGAGCGGTAGCGGTAGCCGAAGCAGTAGCCGTAGCAGTAGCAGTAGCAGTAGCAGAAGTAGTAGTAGTAGTAGTAGTAGTAGTAGTAGTAGTAGTAGTAGTAGTAGTAGTAGCAGGAGTAGTAGTAGTAGTAGTAGTAGTAGTAGTAGTAGTAGCAGTAGTAGTAGTAGTAGTAGTAGTAGTAGTAGTAGTAGTAGCAGGAGTAGTAGTAGTAGTAGTAGTAGTAGTAGTAGTAGTAGTAGTAGTAGTAGTAGTAGTAGTAGTAGTAGTAGTAGTAGTAGAAGCCGTCGTCGTAGTAGTAGTAGGAGGGACGTGTGCAAAAGCAACAACACGAACATAGCACTTTGAACAGGTTGACAAGTGTGAGCAAGAGTGACCTGCCATTTCTGATAGAGAACAGGCTTCCGGGCTCAGCCTTCAAGGGTTCCAAGCGTCCCAGGCTAGCCTGCGACGGTCGCACCGACAGTTGCATTCTGAGCGGCAGCCTCATTTCGGGGTTGCTTGTTCCGTCTGTGCGGGGGTTCAAAGCTGCGGAGCTCCGCCTGTCTCAAATGCCAAAGCAGGCCGTGCATCAAGTTTCTCCCGCTGTTGTGTTTTGAAGAGTGTCGCAATCAAGCCGAATAGCTGCTTACCATCATTATTTCATTGTTAGCATTGTGCATTCTAAGGTCCTAAGGTCTAGTTTTAAGCATGCAGGCCACTGCACCGCAGAGCTCTATGCTCACTGGAACCGAAACATTAGGTCGGCATATACGGCAGGCAACTCCCACTTCTTCAACCCTAAATTCCAGTACCTGAACTGCAGACCTCAACCTCAAGCGCGAAACACCTAAATCAGAAACCCTGAAACCACAACTTACACCCTTGGCCCTGAGCCCCAACCGTGGGTTAGAGTCCTGAGAGGCGTGAGGGTGTCCAAAGGTCTCTGCGAAACTGCACACCGGGGTAATACGCACCTATGTGATTCTCGACATCGGTGTCCATAGATGCTGCGAGCGTCCGTAATTAGGTCGCCCAGGGACCAAGCACAGTTCAAGCCTGAAACTCGGAATGCGGCCCCATGTCCCGTGATCCATCACATATTATATATATTTAGATATACACACACACATTATTCTTACATGAATACTTGTGTATGTATGCTTCCGCATACCTCGACACTGTTGCCGCTTCGAGGCTGCCCGGCTCGCGCAGTCCGGGACTCGGGACTTCGAACGCAGAAGCCACGGAGGGGGTTGGCAGAACCGTTCAAGAGGACTTCTTGTTTGGGCGTGTGCTCCACAGGGCCCCAAGAGACAGTAGGTGTCCCTGTCTGTCATCCTGAGAATCTCTGCTTTTTACAATTCCGCAGTCAAAGCCTCCAGGATGGTTACGTTAAGCGACGCCAGCCGTAAGCCAATGTTTGAAGTCAACGAGGTCCGGGCCCAGATCCTAAACCCTGAAGCCTTAAAAGCCTCAAAGACCCTGACCCTAGAAGTCTTGAGCCCTTCCCCCTTTCTACCGGCATACCCTGGCTATCAAGACCTCGCATCAACCGCATTAACCGTGGTGCAAAAAGGTTGTTTTCAGACGCCACGTGGCCTGCTTTTGAACTGTTTGCAGGTGCCGGTGTGCAGCACAGTCTCCGCAATTTAGGCGCACCTCGGGGAAGAGGGTTTGTGTCTCGGGCACTTCAGCGTTGGAAGCTTTTGCCTTGATGATTAATGGTTTACGCAAAGGGTTTCGGGCAACCCTGAACACAAGCCATAAACCCGGCATCCTAAATCGTGAGACCCTGTGAGGATTTGGACGCAAACACCGTGCTGATCCGATGATCCAACCGAAAGCGCGAAAGCAACACTCTCTGAGACCCCGCACCCTAGACCGGTAAATCCCTAACCACTCCAAGCCGCTGCACCCCGAAACGCCTGCGAGGAGAGGCAGATTTTTGCACTTGCGACCTCGAATACAGCAAGAGATCCTCGTTTGCAATTGAACAGCCTGGGCGTGATTGAGTTACTCTCAAGCAGGCCGAAAAGACAGAAGAATTAGTTACGGCTCTGGGGTTCACGGTGTGTTGAAGTCAAGATATAGCAGCAATGGGGAAGCATGCGCGGAGTCCAGGCTGGGTGACGGCGTGCATCAAGGGTCCCAGAATCGGGGGTCTAGCTTTCGAGGAGGGTGTAGTAGGAATCGTGTGATTACCAGAAGCCATCTTATGATTGCCGGAATCCATCCTTTAGCTGACCAAATCTTTCCAGCAAAGTTAGTGCCATGCTACTTGGTTGGTTCCAGGACACAAGCAACAAGAACCATGTGTACAACATCAATAGTGTCAATAGTGAATTGTCATACTTGTCAGAAGGGAGTACAACGCCAACAATCACAGAGAGCAGTAATGTGAATATTGATGCCTGCCGGTTTAACGCCAACAGTTGCGGATTACAGTATTGTTAATCTTGATACCGGTAATACTCATACCGTAGTCACTAAGAATTTGTTCTGAAGAGGTGCCTTCGACCTGCATCGCGAGCGCAGCTGTCGGCAGGCAGGGGCTTTTGGGCCAGGTTTCGGATGCTTTGGGGTTTCCAGAAGGGGTTTGGGGCCGTCGGGTTTCAGAGTTTCGTTTCGTTCGAAAAGGCTCTGGGATTCAAGCGTTCAGGCTTTCGGTTTTGGGTGTTAGGTTTGAGATCCGTCACTGGTAAGTAGCTGTTGCATGAAAGGGGCGATTGAGTTCTGGAGGATCGGGCTTGGTGTTGGGACGCCGTGTAAGGGTTCAGGTTTTGGGATCTGCGACTGCAGCCAATCGAGTTTAGTGCTCAGGATTCAGTGCTGAGGATTCATAGTTTAGGGCTTGGGGTTCGTTGTCTCTAGCCATTGAGGCTTTTCTGCCTTCCTTTACAAGCACAGTTGCAAGTCAACTCGTTCTAACTCCAGTTGAGTTACTTGTGGCCTCACCTAGAACTGCATGTGAGCCATCAGGGAGATGGACAACTATATAAAATCAGGAATTTTGCAGGGTACTCAGGGTTCTGCAGGTTCTTCTCAAAAACAGTGACACCTTTATCAGACTTGAATTGTGATTCTTTGCGTTGTTTCAATGGAACTTAACGTAAAGTCCTTGACCTGTTAAGAACATCTGACACCCTCGCAATACCCGAGTGAACACCAAACCCTCACCCTCGCTCGGGGATGCATTCCGCTGCGTTCCTTCCGAGTATCACGGCTCCGGCATTCTACTCAGTGACTGTGCTGGATAAAAAAAGGCACCGGGAAGAAGCCCTCAAGCGCGAACCCTTGCACCGTAAGTCTTGAGCTCAGAAGTCGTGCGCCCCAGCTGTTGAAACCCAAAGCCTCGCCCGAACCAAACCTGCCCTAAACGCCCCTTCGAAGGCGCAGCAAGCATGGCTGCAGGCGGAGGGGAGGGCCTGAGGGCCTTGAACATGTTTGCAGTGCTTCGAAACTCTTTGGGTTGCTTCATTGACTGTCATCCTTGGCCGGTTTGTAACGGCAGCACGTGCGGTTCAACGTCCGATGCGTCGTTCCTTTGTTTTCTGTGCAAGTCGCTGCAGCTGACCGAGACCTTGAATAGTAACAGTTCTCAGACCGCCCCGGGGGTGTCGCTTTTGCAAGGTGACCGAGCATCACAACGAACTCGTGAACAAGGCGAAGCAGGCTTGATTCGAGGGTTTGGCTTGGAGCGTCCAGTGGTTTCTGGCTTTAGGGCTGCAGGGACCCTCCATGGGATTTCACCTGCAAGCTGCTTTCGCTGCTGCCCAGCAATGTGTCTCTGTGTTTGTTCCTTGCAGTGCGCTACACTGCTACAGCTGGTCTAGTTCCTGGAGCCTCAACCCTACCCGTTTCTGAGTCCAGGCCGCGGAGGAATCGCGAGGGATTGACCAAAAAGTGCCTTCGCGCCTTGGTTGAAGAAGTCCGGGGCATCAAGTCTAAGCCCTTACCGCCCTGCCCGGCCAGAAAATTATAGGGTCGGTTTAAGGGTTTTGGAATAATATGTTGTACTTTTCTGGAAACCTTCTGTCTTCAAGGCCCCTACATTACAGAATAACGCCCTTCCCGCCCTTGCTTGCGCTTTCGGGATGCTCCGCCCTTACTTGCGCTTTTGGGGTTGTGGTTTTTGGCCCTTGTTCTTTCGCTGGGCTCTGCCTGGCTTAGCTGTCATCCCAAGCAAGGTACTTGGAGCCGTACTTCGAGACCGCGCGGGTTTTAGAGGCCATGCTGTCCGATTATGCCAGGGTGTTTAGAGTTGTTTAAGTTCCCTACACCCTACCATTCACTTGGGCTTCCCTCTAT